CCAGGGGCTCACCAACCCGCAGCCAAAGGCAAACCCAGTGCCCTGTGCCCATCTTAGCGCTGGGCAAGCCCCAGTGCAGCCTTCCAAGGGCAAGGGAGAAGCTCCCAAAGCACTTCCACAGCCACAGTGAACTTCCCACCACCAGGCACCACCTCCCTCCGCCCCAGCTCCATCCTCCCCCAAGGGAAGCTCTGTTGTCCTGCCCTGGCACACGGCAGCAGCTGCGGGCACCCCAGGCCCCGTGCTGGGTTTCAGAAGGGCATTTCTGGGCAGGCTGATGTGGGGGGACAGGGTTGCTCCCCCTGTTCCTGTCCAACTCCTCGCTGACAGCTCCACGCACACGCCTCTGCTGCCACACCATGGGAACTCCTGGATACTGCTCCCGGCACAGCCCCGGAACGGGCGAGCCTGGAGCTTTGGAACTTCGTTCCACAGGGGTTCAGCTCTCAGCACAGCTGAACTGATTTCCTGGGATCACACCCCAAACCCTCCGTGACCCCACAAAGGGCGGGTGCCTCCCCTCCCTCCCTGCAGACCCAGGCACTGACGCCCAAGTTGGCATCCTGCTCGCACAAAAACATCCTTGGTGCGGTCTCAGAATCTAAAGAGAGGACTTATTGATCAATGCCTCCGGCTCTGATGCAGATAAAAAAACATCTGAGGTCTTAAAAGCTTTCGCAGGTCTTCTGCTCACCAAGCAAAACCACCCAGAGCATCAACCTCTGGCTGAAGGATGCAGAACAGAGCTGGAAATGCAGGCAGGAGGGACCAGGGGCCTGAGAAGAAAGGATTAAATGCTCAGCGAGGTACAGAGTGAAGCCTGGAAGATCCAGTATGAATAAGGCACAGACAGCTCAGAAGAAGAGAAAAAGCTGAAAGCCCCTGGTGGAGTAAATCTGAGATTTTGGGTATGTCTCCAACAGTCTGCTCGCATGAGGAAAGCTCAACAGAAGCTGCTGGAACGGTTTTCCTCTGTGCACAGGCTGAATGTTCATGCTGAGATGAAAAATAGCCACCAAAATAAACATTCAGCCTTTCTTAGGGACCTGTAGGTTCTTTGGGTGGGTTTACAGCCTTTCCTAACAGATCCTCGCAGTCAGCAGAACTGTTCAGCTCCTCTGCAAGAGTGCTCAGGAGCAGCAGTTGATCCTCATCCCCCAGCCCCTGGAAGCAAACCTGCCTTACATAATAAAATCAGTCTTGCATTCCAGATAAAGTTTTTCCTCAAAAACAAAACAAAACAAAANAAAAAAAAAAAAAAAAAAAAAAAAAAAAAAAAAAAAAAAAAAAAAAAAAAAAAAAAAAAAAAAAAAAAAAAAAAAAAAAAAAAAAAAACAAGGAGCTTTCATACACATCAACACCCAAACACACATTCCTCCAGCCTGGGATACAGCAGACAAAAAAACGGGACTTGGAAACTTGGAAATCGGGGCACTGCACAGTGTGGAGAGCAGCAGTGCCAAGCACTCGTCTCTCCCACTCTTCCCCCTCCTACACACGCAGAAGGACAGTCCCTAAATATTTGCTGTTTACACCAGAAATAAACTTCACTCCCTGGATCTGCTTTGGCTGCAAGGGCAGCTGCGGAAATGAGGCAGGAGACACAAGCAAACTGCCCCCAAATTCAAGTCTTCTTCTGCTTTCAAGCCCAAACATGCATATTTCATAAAAAGCAGCATGCTGAGGCCAACGAGCTCATATATAAGAGATATTCAACTGGGAAGGCAGGAGGGAAAGGAGGAAAGTGCTTCCATCTTCAATGCAAGGTATCCAGAAATCTGTTTTATCAGCAGGGTAGCGAAATCCTGAATTAAGATGCCAGGGGAAAGCAGTGCTGGCGTTTTTCACAGTCATCCTGCACATCACCAGTGCCTGTGCCCAAACCTGACCCAGCGGAGAGGGGGAATGAGATCATGGAGAGCCACCCTTTATCACACGCCAGCGCTGGAAAAATCACTGCTCCCGGAGGCTGCAGCTCCAGAGGTCTGAATCAAACCCCTCGGGGCCGTGCCCGAGATGCCAGGGCAGAGTGTGCCACCACCCCAGGACCGTCACCCCAGTGCCACCACCCCAGTGCCACACAGCCTGTAACCACCACCCCAGTGCCACCACCCCAGTGCCATCACTGGGCTATGATGGCACACAGCCCAGTGCCATCACCTTAGTGCCACCACCCCAGTGCCACACAGCCTGTAACCACCACCCCAGTGCCACCACCCCAGTGCCACACAGCCTGTAACCACTACTCCAGTGCCACCACCCCAGTGTCACCACCCCAGTGCCACACAGCCTGTAACCACCACCCCAGTGCCACCACCCCAGTGCCACCACCCCAGTGCCATCACTGGGCTATGATGGCACACAGCCCGGTGCCATCACCTCAGTGCCACCACTCCAGTGCCATCACCCCAGTGGCACACAGCCTATTGCCAGCATCCCAGTGCCACACAGCCCAGTGCCATCACCCCAGTGCCACCATCCCAGTGGGACGCAGCCTGTAACCACTACCCCAGTGCCATCATCCCAGTGCCACACAGCCCAGTGCCATCACCCCAGTGCCACCACCCCAGCGGCAGCCTATTGCCATCACCCCAGTGCCACCACTCCAGTGGCACACAGCCTCTTGCTACCGTAATCCCAGTGCCACTACCCCAGTGCCATCACCCCAGTGCCACACAGCTTATTGCCACCACCCCAGCGCCACCACTCCAGTGCCACCATCCCAGTGGCACACAGCCTATTGCCACCACCCTAGTGCCACTACCCTCAGTGCCATCATCCCAGTGCCACCATCCCAGTGGCACACAGCCTATTGCCACCACCCCAGTGCCACTACCCTCAGTGCCATCATCCCAGTGCCATCACCCCAGTGGCACACAGCCTATTGCCACCACCCCAGTGCCACCACCCCAGTGCCACACAGCCTGTAACCACTACCTCAATGCCATCACCCCAGTGCCACCACTCCAGTGCCACCATCCCAGTGCCACCATCCCAGTGCCACACAGCCTCTTGCCACCACCCCCGTGCCAACATCCCAGTGGCACACAGCCTATTGCCATCACTCCAATGCCACTACCCCAGTGACACACAGCCCAGTACCACTACCCCAGTACCACCACCCCAGTGGCATCCAGCCTGTAACCACTACTCCAGTGCCACCACCCCAGTGGCACCCAGCCTACTGCCACCACCCCAGTGCCACCACTCCAGTGGCACACAGCCCAGTACCACTACTCCAGTGCCACCACCCCAGTGGCACCCAGCCTATTGCCACCCCCCCAGTGCCCCCCACCCCGCAGCCCCGTTCCCGCAGGCGGCTCCGGCGCCGCTCCCGCAGCCCAGGAGCGGGCGGAGGATGCAGAACGCTGGCGCAGAAGTTGCCCCCGGCACTCACCCATGGCCGATCCAGCCAGCAGCCCCAGGGAGAGCAGCAGCGCCCGGCTCCAGGCGCTCCCCTCCGCCGTCATGAGAGCCGCGATCCCAAATTTCCACCAGTGCCCGCCGAAGCCGCAGCTGCATCCCGGCCGGTCCCATCCCAGGGAAGGTTGCATGTCAAAGGGCAGCAGCAGGAACGGGGCGTGCTGGGGCTCTGCTGGTCGCCGCTGTTGGGTTTTTCCCCCTTTTTTCCTTCCCCTCGGCGATTGGGATAGTCCTCGGCTCGGCTGGATGAAGAGGAGAAAGGCAGCAGGAGGGGGAGGAGGTGAGGGGGAAGCGGGTCAGGCTTGTGATTTTGATTTCTTTTGGGTTGGTTTTTTTTGGGGTTTTTTGGTTTTTTTTTTTTCCCTGAATTTTTTCAGCCCGGGAGGAGGAGAGGGGAAAAAAAATCCCACCGCATGGAAGGCTCTGAGCTTCTGCAGCTGGAATGAACCAAGTGTGGCAGCAGCTCGGGGAGAGGAGAGGGGAGGCGAGGAGAGGAGAAGAGAGGAGAGGAGAGCAGGGGAGGGCTGGCGCGTCCCTCCCGGTGGCTGTCTCAGCGCCAGCTCCTCGGCAGCAGCACCACCAGCACCACGCAGCCCTCAGGGATTTATACTTTTTTTTTTTTTTTTTTTTTTTTTTTTAAGCATTTTTTTTTTTTTTTTTTTTTTTTTTTTAAGCCACTTGATTAATCGTTCCCGGAGCTTTGCTCCCTCTCTGGAAGCCGGGTGTTGTGGAAGGGGTAGGGGGGATGCTGTGCTACCCACCCCAAACCCGGTACCAGCATCCTGCCAGCGCCCGGCCCCACAGCCAGGGCTCCAGCAGCGCGTTTATTTTTGATATCCAGGTTTCTTGCTAAGGAACGAGCCCCCCCAGCCCCCATTCCTCTCTCTCACACACATCCCTGTTATCCACCCCCCCTTTCCCCCATAAACAACCTGATGCTATTGACACAATTTCTGTGATGAGGCAAATTTTGTTGCAAACACAGCTCGCGACAGACACCCCTCCCCTCCCTTTTCCCTGTCTGTGGCTTGTCCTCGCAGCACGGCTCCCCGATCCTGGTGGGACCGATCCAGGGGCATCCCGGAGGTGGGAAAGGCTGTGCCCCCTCCCCCGAGCCAACCGGGGGGCTTGGCAGGGCTGGCAGAGCCCCGTTTCTCCCCCGTCAGCGGCAGCACCTCCCCTTGTTTTTGTTTTAACATCTCCCGGTACGCCGGTCCCTGGAGCTGCAGGCAAGATGGGGAAAAGGGAGGGAGGAATGGGAATGCAGCCACTTAACGCCGCGTTCGGGAACTTCATTATCTTGCTAATGATGCTCAGATCCAGGGACAAGGAAAACAACTCGAACATGACACCAGAGCTTAAGGAAATAAATAAATAACGAAGGAAAAGGCACTCTGGAACGCTCGAGCATCCTCCCCCTCCTCCCTCCGACTTTACGCTGGTGACAGGCTCGGAGCTGCCGCTCTTCCCCGAACCCCTGTGAGCAGGGGGTGTTTGCAGCCCCACACCCCCTCTCCAGCGCTGTTATCCCGCTTTTCCCCGCGCCCATCCCCATTTCCCCGCTGCCCCGGGATGCGGGGCCGGGCCGGTGCCCGCGGTGCCCAAAGCGGGGCCGGGCCGCTCGCCCCGGCCCTGCCGTGCCCACCCCGGGGGCTGCCCTGGCACCCACCCCCTGCTCCCCCGGCTCTGCATTTGCTGCAGTTTCTTGCTGCAAAACCCCCTTCTCCGGCCGTGCTCCGGCTGCCTCGAATGAGCTTATTGCACAGCTAAAAACCCAATTCTCCACCGAGGGCTCGCAGATCTGTCCCTCCACGCTGGGATCAATCCTCCTCCTCCTCCTCCTCTCTCCCTCTCCGTCCCCTCCGCATTTCAATCCTCGCACTGCCCACACCGGGAGCCGCTGCCAAGAGCCAAGGCAACCGCGGCTGGCACATGAAAGAGTTGCTTTATGTCTGTTTAAGCTGCAGCATCAATTCAAACAGCCCCGATTGTGCACAGCTCCCCCAGGGAAAGCTCCATCAGCCGGTGTCCCCCGGCCACGCTGCGATGTCCCCCAGCCCAATATCGCTGCAGGGCAGGGGCTGAGCCAAAGAGGCCTGCGTGCATCCACAGGCATAAAAAAGGAAAGCATTGAGGAGCCAAAATCCCACTTTATTCCCGTGCAATCGGATCGTAAATATTTCAAACCCAGGGGTTCCTCCCGGGTAGGTTTGCATCGCCAAAAAAAAAAAACCCGGAGGATTAGGGTTGAACCGTCTCCAGAATAATTAAGGAAAAAAAAAAAATACAGCGTTTATTGGCGGAACGGACAATTGCCATGAGCGAGGCACAAAGCGTCCCTGCCATGCCCAAATTGTCATCCCCAGGGAGGGATGCTGGGGTCGCCGGCATCTCTCACCTTGCGAGATCACCTCTCCCTGCACGCACAATTCCTGCTGGGACACAAAAGCGCTGCTCTGCACTGCCACCCGCAGGGACACATTCCCCGAGATGTCAGCCCCCTTCTCCATGGCCCGCTGGCCAGAACTCACCTGTGATTCCTCCCAAGGAACAACAGCAACGTCCCCTGGGTGCTGCTCGGCTTTGGGCGCTGGTTTGGGGAGCAGATCCTGCCCTGTGAGGGTGAGGAGAGCCTGGCACAGGGAGGATGTGGCTGTCACATCCCTGGGAGTGTCCAAAGCCAGCCTGGACAATGCTTGGAGCTACCTGGGATGGGGGAAAGTGTCCCTGGTGCTGGGTTTGGGGAGCAGATCCTGCATGAGGAGCGCCTGGCACAGGGAGGATGTGGCTGTCACATCCCTGGGAGAGTCCAGAGCCAGGCTGGACAATGCTTGGAGCTACCTGAGAGAAGGAAAAGTGTCCCTGGTGCTAGGTTTGGGGAGCAGATCCTGCATGAGGAGCACCTGGCACAGAGAAGACGTGGTTGTCTCATCCCTGGGAGTGTCCAGAGCCAGGCTGGACAATGCTTGGAGGTACCTGCGAGAGGATAAAGTGTCCCTGGCCATGGCAGGGTCACAGCCCAGCGTCCCTGAGGGACACCAAGGTGACCAGAGGGATGGCAGCTCTCCCGTGAGGAAAGGCTGGCAGAGCTGGGATTGTTCCTGGAGGAAAACTTCATTCCCAGGTGACTTCATGGTGACTTCCAGGACCTGAAGGAGCCAACAAAAAACATGAAGGGAGACAATTTACAAGGGCTTGGAGTGACAGGACACAGGGAATGGCTTCCCATTGCCAGAGAGTGGTGGAAGTGGGATTTTGGGAAGGAATTTTTCCCTGTGAGCGTGGGGAGGGCCTGGCACAGGGAATCTGTGGCTGTCCCATCCTTGGAAGTGTCCAAAGCCAGGCTGGACAGGGCTTGGAGCTACCTGGGATAGGGAAGGTATCCCTGGGATAGGGAAAAGTGTTCCTGGGATAGAGAAAAGTGACCCTGGGATAAGGAAAAGTGTCCATGAAAAGGAAAAGTGTCCCTGGGATAGAGAAAAGTGTCCCTGGGATAGGGAAAAGTGTCCCTGGAAAGGAAAAGTGTCCCTGGGATAGAGAAAATGTCCCTGGGATAGGGAAAAATGTCCCTGGGATAGGGAGAGGTGTCCTTGGAATAGGGAAAAGTGTCCCTGGGATAGAGAAAGTGTCCCTGGGGTAGGAAAAGTGTCCCTGGGGTAGGGAAAAGTGTCCCTGGGATAGGGAAAAGTGACACTGGGATAGGGAAAGGTGTCCCTGGGATAGGGAAAGTGTCCCTGGGATAGGGAAAATTGTCCCTGGGAGAGGGAAAAGTGACACTGGGATAGGGAAAAGTGTCCCTGGGATAGGGAAAGGTGGGATGAAATGAGCTGATTTAAGATCCTTTCCCATCCAAACCATTCCTACACCTCTCCCAAGCAGTCACCTGTTGAAACAAAGCCTGAGGCACGGGGTACATCCTCCTCCTGTTGAGGCACACCATTCTCCCTCTTTCCCACCACAACCAATTTTCTTTGGGAAAAGTTTGTCCCACGAAACCCAGCTACTTCAAATCCTGAAGCACCCTAAGCAGCTGCTGCATTCGCTTCCCCACGACATTTAAAGGAAAACAACCACAGACACATCAAAATATTTACAGGAAGAAGCGAAAGCGGCATTCAAGGGAGCAAAATTGAAAATTAAAGTGTGATAGGGAAGCTACTGTAAACAGCTGATCTTCACAAAGAAAAGCTGAATTTAGCACAGAAAAATTTATGCCAAATCATGTTTCACAGGACAAATAGTGGGGAGAGAGGGAAGGATGCTCTTCACATTAATTGGATAATATTTACTGTGTGCTCCCAAAATAGAAAAAGTAAAATTGACAAATCCAGCTCACAGTCAGCAAGAATTAACACGTGGCCAGTTCCAAACATCCCAACAAAACATCTTGCAAACCTGGCCCATCCTGTTTCGCACGTGGAAGTGTTAACTGATATTCCATCTTCCAAAAAATAACCTCACAAACGAGGAAAGGGAGAATTTTCCAGATGAAGCCATGGAGGAACAGAAGGGGAAGGCTGCAGCCTGTGAAACCACCAGACAGGAATCCCTTTGAGAAAATGGGGCAGAAAGTTGTTTCTGTACTCAAAAATAGCCTGACAATGTTCTATTTTCATACCCACGGCACAAATCTGTTGAGGTTTTTATTACAGAGAATATCTCTGTTCTTTAAAAATAGAGGGGAGCCAGCATCCCACTAATTACAGTGAGCCTATGATTAGAGATAATTAGATACATTTACAATTTCGAATTTCCTAACTTTAGCTGTTTATGAACCAGAGATGTGCCCATAGTGTGTGCACAGAGCATCAGTCATTCCCTCCAGCTACGAGGAGTAAATTGATAACACATTAAATTATTGAACATGGCAGGAGCAAACTGGAATTTAAATGCATGTTTGGAGGAAGGAAGGACAAGAATTGGGATTTGCAGCAGGTGACCATTACAGGCACGTGGATGTGGCTTAAAGGAACACAAAACTCTTCAATCCCTCTGTTGCAGAATTTCTGGGGGAGAGAGGGCATGATTTATGTCTGGAGTGAGAATTGAGCTGCCCCTCAGACTTGGCCCTGATAAGAGGCCTTGGTGGGGTCTGGGAGCCTTTGATGGAGTGAGAATTCAGCTGTGGTGCAGTTAGAAATTATGTTAAGGTAACCACAAAGTAATGAGCTGAGTGTGAATTAGGGTAGAGCTGCAGTGTGAAAAGCCTGACCACGTTAATGCAAAGGTAAACAATGTTGGCGTGCCAATGAGAGTGCCTTTGTAAACTATATGGAAGTGTATATAAACTGCCATCTTCTCTGTAATAAAGGGAGAATGTAGCTTTAACCACATTAACTTGATCTGTGTTTTGTCCAGTCCAGCTTTCCTGCTCTATGGGGACCCTGGCTTCGTCCCTCTGCAAGTGCCAGAGGAATCTGGGGGCTTTGGAGGGGCTCCACTGCAATATCTGCTCAGCCCAGGACTGGAAAGTGCTGGAATGGCCTTTTCCACTCAGGAATTGTTGTGTTCCCTGCCAGGGGCTGCTGTCCCACTTCTCTCTAACCCTCAACCCAGGATCCCCCTTGAGCTGAAGTGGAGCAGACACGGGAAGCTCA